GATGTAAATTTACTGCTGAAATACTATAAGCTTTTAGTTGTTTAGCCATTCTTGTTCTATCAACAACCACATAACTTTCAACTCTAAATGTTGTTCATATAATACATTACATGCATCATCTAACCCAAAGTTCTTCACTCTCCCACCTTCCACATGACTTATTATTGTGCAACTACCAGGGAAACTATATAAGTTTGCTTCCTGTCACAAACAAGATTTGTCATGTTGATAGATGTTCTGTAAACTTCTGCTTGGCACCATTTCTTTCTTTTGAACCAATATTTCAAGGAGGGAGGGTGTAGCTTTAGTTTGCTCAAAATTTCATATTTTTTTAGACCCAAATACATCTTAGTTACTAAGCTTGATATATTATAGTGGAATTTCATGGTATTAATGTAGTAATTTATGATTTTTTAGTTATTAAAATGTATATATATATATCTATATATATAAAACCTAAAAAAATATTTTGTTTCATATCATCCACATGGAAATTTTTTAAAGGCTTAGCAACCTACGTCAAGCAGCAACCAAGTTCAAAGGTTATAACTGGAAGAGATAATTCTTTGCTTTACTTCTTTAGTTACTGTTCTATGTTTTAAGAAAAATAAGTTTATGAACTTATTTCAAAATAGCAATAATCTATATCAATATATAATGTATAGTAATTGAAATGTGACTGTATTTTACAAAATTCTAGTCTACTGAAACAAAGCCAAGACAAGTTACTTTGTACAGACCAAAGGTCAGTTTTATGTATCATTGTAACTTCTGTATTGTTTAGCCAGGCAAGGCTGAAAGGTCAATATAATAAAAATAATAAATATTTACAAATGTATAATGTTATGAGATTTAAGCTATTTTGTCTAAACATTTATGTTTTTGTGTTATAATTTGTGTTCATTCTAGAATGAAAGAGGCATAATTTATATTTATTTCCTAATTTTTTATGGTGGTTGCAAGATCGGTCAAATCACAAGTGACTCATTTCCTCAGTCTGAGTTGGCAATGTTCACAAGTTCAATATAGCCTGCTCTTATCTGCACATTGCTATAATGGTGTCATGTCACTATCAACGTTTTTTGTGCGCAAGGGTCGAGTACTGCATTTCAGGGTTTTTACCTTCGAACTAGCAACGACACCATATGGGTTCTGCCGAATCGTACAACATTTTTCTTTTCACCTCCATCAGCCCTGTGCACACACCATTCAATGTATGGTTGTACTGCTGACACCATTACACCCATATTCTACTTTCAGAAACAACCAAGGTAGGCTTCATTCTCAGAGCTGAAACATTATTCTTGCTCCAACTAATATGGCATCAGTTTGGGTATTTTTTTATCATTTATCTCAGTCAGGCTCAGTTGACTCCCATCCAGCTCCACACTATGGAACAGGAAGCCCAACTGTTACCCACCTCTCCTTTTCCCACGGCACAGATGGTTATATCTCTTTTGGGAATGTGAGCATCATTCAAATCCCTCATGCCTTTGAGATGAGCAAACAAGAGATCCTTTCAATGGTCTTTATGAGACCTAGGGATCATAAACATTGATTTACTGGTTTCACCAGTTTCCTTATTCAGGATCATTCTTCAATCTTGAGGGTTTGTTAAGTCGGGAAAATACTAAAATTTGGGGTCCTCTGCTACCACCTTGTCCAGAGATTCATCTCTTCACAAATGCCTTGCTTTGGGGATTGGGTGTGTATCCCAACAGTCAGACATTCCAGGGTCTATGCATGGACAACAAGGCTTACCAATACAATGTTTTAGTCCTTGCTCTTCTGGGGTTATTAAAGGGAAAATTGTCATGCTTCACTCCAACAATTCCATGGTGGTGTCTTGCAATTCCTGTTGAGGGTCACTTGGTCTAGGGCTCCTTGTTTTTAAACCATGGATTTCCTTTCTCGGGATCACTCCTCTCATATCACCCCTACTAGCTTGCCATATTCCACAGATGATAACTTTGGTAGCAGATTAATTGTCTCGACCCAGACAGATTCTCCCAACAGAATAGATCCTGAATCGCAAGGTTTTCTGTTGGATTGCCTCTCATTTTGAAACACTGATAATTGGTGCATTAGCCACTCATTTGAACACCCAACTACTGGTAATTTGGTCTCCTTTACTTCATATTTGGGCTTTGGCAATGGATGCATTCTGTCAGGATGGGACAGGATTACAACTCTAGGTCTTCCCTTCAATTCATATGTTACCCAAGGTACTAACTATGATTTGTTCCAACCCATTTTCGGGTCCTGTTGATAGCATTGGATTAGCAGTTACACCCTAGTTTCTGCTTCTGCAGTACCTTCAGGAGTGCCCACATCTTTCACTTCCTCTTTGTCCATCTCTGTGGAGGCAGCCATGATCTGACATGGTACACCTGGCATGGAGGTTATGCAGTTTTTCCTACAATGTCAGGGTTTAATTTCTATGGTTGCCATGTATTGTCTTTGTCCCTTGATGGACATTTATCAATAGAAATGGCACACATACCGACAATGGTGTATTGAGAGGAGGTTGAACCTACTTTGATTACAAGTGCCAACCATAATTTGTTTTTTTGACCTGGCTCTTTGGCAAGGGTTTTGCATCTTCCACAATCACCCTGTATAAGGTGGCCTTATCGACTACTGTTCAATACTCAAGATAAAATTTCTTTGAGTCCCCAGTACTCTCCAACTTCCCCAAATTGCTTTGGGTCCTTTGTCCCAAAAGACCATTCAAGTTACCAAACTGGAAGGCTACATCACATGCCATTTCTCAACACCCGTTTGTGACTAGCCTCATATGCCATGTATCAACTTTACCTGAAGGTTTATTTTTCGTTGCTGCTGACCTATAGACATCACCAGTTGAAGTGGTTTGTGCTGATTGTCCACAGGATGCTTTATCATTCTACCTACATCCTCAGACTGGCTCTTCTTCCCTAAGGCACTGTCAGCTATGAAAGGGGATAAATCCTTTTCACTGATTCATGTGATCACTATTTATCACTTCTATGAATGATAAGTTTTTGATTATTTGTTATGGCTAATGAGGATCTTGAAGATTTTGTTGCCCATACCAATGCCTTTAGAGATGCTAGACAACAACTTTTTATTCCTTTAGGTCATTCAGTTTCCCAGGATTTACCATCAGTTACATTGATGAGGTGGGTACGAAATTAATCCATATCACTTATTCTGGGCTCTCTTTGAAGGGTGCAGGTGTGAAGGGGCACA